CCGAAGCTGGAAGGATGTTTCTTTTCCTAAGCCTGTGTATCCACTTGTGCATCCTTCTGTTTTAGTGGAAACTTATGAGCAAGGGGAAAGTGTCTCACACTATGTTGATGGACTTGAAGGACATGACAGGATTAAGACTGCACTTGCTCATATTGGAACTCATGCACTTTTGAAGATGCTTCTGGTAACTATTTTTAATTGGTTTACTTATACTTCTGATTACATTGCTATGTGATATCTACTTGATTATGCTTGATTCCTGTTTTCCATCACCTCATCTGTTTGAGAGAAAAAAGTATGATACCATTCCGGTTTCCATGAGCTTATGATTTTCTTCCTTCAGGTAGACAACTTTATTCATGCTGACATGCATCCTGGAAATATCCTGGTCCGGGTGTCTCAGAGCAAGGCTTCTCGAAAACGGCTCTTTAAATCAAAGCCTCATGTCATTTTCCTTGATGTAGGCATGACTGCTGAACTTTCTAGGAGTGATCGTGTAAACCTATTGGAATTTTTCAAGGCTGTTGCCCGTAGAGATGGTCGCACTGCTGCAGAGTGCACGCTCAAATTATCGCAACGACAAAACTGCCCGAACCCAAAGGCTTTTATTGAGGTGATGTATACAGGTGTAACTTTTTAGTGGGAATAATTTGAATTAGGACAGTGAGGAGGAGTTTATTTTTATTAGGACAGTAACTTCCAAGTTAGCATATCTTTATTTTACATCCCTGCCTTCCCCCCCCCCCCCCCCTTCTTTCCTTTTTCTATACTGTTTTGTTTTGTTCTATATCTATATTATTTTCTGCTTGGTTTTCTGATACCTTGTTTCAACAGGAAGTAGAAGAAGCATTCACTTTTTGGGGTACTCCTGAGGGTGATATAGTTCATCCAGCTGAATGCATGCAACAACTGCTTGAGAAAGTAAGGCGTCATAGAGTTAATATTGATGGCAATGTATGCACTGTGATGGTCACAACTTTGGTTCTTGAGGTAACTTCTTTCTTCATTTGTGCAAGTCCAAACTTTCAATTGAACCTTTGACCAACCAATTGACATGTCTTTTTTTGACTCTCTCCCTGTTGTCCTTTGCTCTACTTTATCTGTTAGGAAAGGACTCCTTGTCTTTATATTTACTCATGCATATATTGTGCTTATGTCTTTCTGAAGGAATTTAAATAGATAGTTGTCATCATAGTTAGGAGTAAATCTGCCTGACTAGTTGAAACAGTCTGGATCAGGGACTTAAATATCGGGATTGTTTCATAATAGTCGTAGGACTGACTTGCTGAAATGCCTTTACAATATGAAGATAAAACTAGTTGATATAGTCATTAATGTCATTTTTGATAATTGATTTAATTCAGTAACATGTGCTGGTACTTGCTTTGAACTTGTAGGGTTGGCAGAGGAAACTTGATCCAGGATATAACGTGATGCAAACACTACAGACACTGCTGCTGAAAGCTGACTGGGCAAAATCTCTTTCCTACACTATTGATGGGCTGATGGCTCCATAAAACATTCTCTGAAGCCTGATTAGCTGTCTATGCGTCCTTTCAAAGTGATCCTTAGGATCATGTGTTTCTGTTTCTTGAAAACAATTTTGACAGAGCTGAGACCCTAAAATATACTAGTCCTTGAAAAGCATCATAAGTATAATTAATCTTTTCCTTGAAATTTTGAGCTAACGTGAAATTTTATCCTTCTGTAATTGTTTGTTCCTTTCCACTATTCACTGCTGTTATCTCTTAAGCCCCATATCTCACAGCTGAAAACTGTGAAAAGAAGGGGCTACAAAGGAGAAATAAAGTGTCAAACTATTCTTTTTCTTTAAATTCTTTTCGCATAATAGAGGGGACAAGAAAACTCATGTACCAGAACTTAATAAGTTTAACTGAACTATATACAGATTGTATTTATTTATTGCTTCACATACCTTGTTATATATGATGCTGCTGATAAATCTCATGTCCGAAGCTTTGGTCCTCCCGTTTCTTTCGGTTTATACACTCTTGTATGCAATTCTTCCAAAAAATTTTCCTTTCTCACTCTTTAACTCTGTGACAGTGATTCAATGGTGTAGCAATACATGCAGGTTATGGTGGATCCTGACGCCCCAAGTCCATGTGGGCTGAGACTGAGGGAGTGGCTGCACTGGTAATTCCATTATCATGCTTATCTCTGCTAGTATACTGTGTAAAGAATGAAATGTCACTATAAAAATTTGGTACAAGTGATGTTTCTGTTGCAGGATTGTTGTAGATATTCCTGAGCAACATGATGCTACCAAAGGTATAGCTTTTCCATTGTATTCTTTCAGCTCTAAAACACTACTCTTAATCATAGAAGACGAGTTCATAGATTTTCAAATTACTTTACATGGGATTTACATGATACAATATTGTGATATTGGGGATACGGGAAGAGAGATGGCGCCTTACATGGGACCCCAGCCACCTACAGGAATTCACAGGTTATATTTTGGCTCTGTTTAAGCAGGAGAGAGCAACGGAGGGAGGGTGTCAACTCCCGGATGCCCGACTCAAAGCAGGCCGGAGCTTCCTGTTGCTGCAGTGTATTTTAACTCACAGAAGGAACCCGCAGTGAAGAAACGCTAGCAGATACTTCAAGTGCAACACTTAATCCTACATATTTAGTAGATTTTGTGATACATTCATTAAAAAGATTACAGAATAGGTTTCGTAGGCTAATGGAGATGGGTGTTTGTTGTTAAAGAACTGATTTTGGTCTGTGTATAATTTTCATTCATTTTGATTTGAATAGATTATATCCTTTCAACCGATTAATATTGAAATAAAAAAATCACCCGAATTAACTGAATTATCGTAATTATTATTTCCATTTGAATTAATTAAAGGTCACCCTAAACACATTCTAAAAACTGGAAAAAGAAAAGAGTGGAGCCTTAAACTCTAATGAGTGACCAAAACATTAGGAGGGTTCTTAACGTGGAGAACTTATCCAACGAAACATTTGACTGTTTTGGGTTTGTAACGGAATTAACAAACCAACCAACAAAACATGGGTTCCAGATATTTTTCATCTTTTCCAGGTTTTTGGGATTTCTTTGACATTTTCAACTTTTCGTAAAATTAAACTGTTAATTTTGTTTAATAAAAATATTAAAAACACTCGATGATTTGAAATTAACTTTTTTTAAAAAAATTTCAATATATATTTGTATTTTACTGTCAAAATTAACTTCTTGAACTTTGGCTAGTAATAAAAATAATTTATAAAATATATTAATTGAGGGAAGAGGTCTAAATAAACTTTATTATTTTTTTACCCTGTATTAAAATACCGAGTCGGGCCGTTGTTCTCTCTTCTTCTTCTTCTTCTTCTTCTTCCTCTTGCGCGGCTAGGTTTTACCAAAACGAAAGGAAGAGAATGAAATTGGACAACAAAAAAACGCATCCGAATTCTGATTGATATCAGGCATTCAAGAACTTCTTCCTCTATTGTTCACCGCCTTCGCACGTTAGCCTCTCCGAGCTCCCTCGTATATCCCTCTCTCTATATCGCCATGTCTAGGTTCATCACTTTACCCTTTTCAATTTTCTTTTTTTTTTGCCTTTTATTTAAAAATACTTTCTGGGTTTTCTTTACTTCGGCTTGATTTTTCCTGGGTCCGGTTGTTTTGGGATTACAGTATCTAGGAGCTTGGGTTTATGGCTTTTAAAGCTTTTTTATGGTTGTCATTTAAAAAAAAAAGGTGAAATTGGTTTGTATCGAACAAGGTTTATTCCTCTGTTCCTTTAGATATAACATATGTAATGATTTCGTTAAATTAATGATTGCCCAACGAATTATATGTTAAATATTTGAATTTTAAGAAATATTTTTGTTTCCAACAACTCCGGATGTTGAGTTTAATTAAAGCAGATTTCTTTCCTCATGTTTTGCGAAATTGGCAATTGGGTTCTGAATAATTACCTTTCTGTCGAAGAATTTAGAATTTGCTTCTAAGGTTTATAGAGTTTACATGGTCAATGACGAGAGAAATTGTTGGGATGCAGACTTTTGACATTTGCAAAGATTAGGAAAGCTTCACAATCTGCTATTTCAAACCAGTCTTTGAGCCATTCAGATTTTAGAAAGTATGGAACTGTTGTTACTGTTGGGTTGCGTTCGCCACAATATAGAGTGTACTCTCACTATAGGTTGAAGAGTGGAGGAAAGCCTCCACTCTTATTGCAGACTACCAAGGAAGGGTTGTGTCAAGGTTATTTTGTCAGGAACC